TCATTTTTCTTGAACATATTCACCATCTACTGCTGTTGAGTAGATTCCAACTCACAGTGACCCTATAGGCAGAGTAGAACTTCATTGAGTTTCCAAGGCTGTAAATCTTTCTCCCATGGAAGGACAGATGGGTTCAAACACCAAGTTTTCATACAGCAGTCTAATGCTTAACCAACCCACCTGACCACCAATTACATAGCCTGGAAGGGGGAAAATCCAGTCTTAATCAGACCCAGTTGCCTTGATGCCTTGCTCTTTTGCCTAAATCCAAAGTTTGCCAGGAAGGAAAGTAAAATGTTAAGGTCTCAAAAAAAGGATTTCTGGGCATTATGTATTGTATTTGCTTCTAGAAATCATTAAGCTAGTATGCACACTAATTAGATTAGAGATAAGCTTATGAGGCCATCTGAAATTATGTTTACCTTATATATAAGGCTTTCAGATATTAAGTCTCAATATTAAGTTAAAATACTTAGCGTATTTATTAAGTCTCAATATTAAGTTAAAAATTCTTAGCGTAACGAAAGATAAGGTAGCGAAATAATTAGCTTTGTTCGGTTTGAATATTTCAGTTGCCACTGAATCTAGTTTATGCCATTTGAATGAAGTAATAATGAAGGGATGAAGGAAAACTGAAGGCCATTCCAAAAATTCCCCCCATAGCTAAGCATACTTTCCTTCTGTAATAATAAAATTGAGCTCTATGTAATGCTCAAAGAATGGGACTGTTCCTTGGTTGCGAAACAGTAGGTGGAGCCATCCACTTTGAATAGGACTAATTTAAAGTGTGTGCTAGTACTGGTTAGATTTTGTTTTAGAGGTGGGCAAGGCAACAAAGAAATTATGTCAAGTTTTTATTCTTGAAAACTTTGAGTGTGATGTAAAAGACCAAATCCATCGATTGCCATAGAGTCGGTCTCAACTCGTGGTGAACCTATCAGACAGAGTAGAACTGCCCCTTTGGGTTTCCCAGGCTGGAAATCTTTATGGGAGCAGAAAGCCTCATCTTTCTTCCATGGAGCAACTGGTGGTTTCAAATGGCCAACTTTGCAGTTAGCAGGCAAACATATAACCCACCATGCCACCAGGGCTTCTTGTCAAGTGTGATAGGCAAGAGTTCTTTGAGTGTTTTCTGTAAACATAGCCAAGCAGGCTAATACTAGCTTTTCAAATGGAGAACCCTAGTGACTCAGGTACAGATCTTATGTTCATTTTTATTATATCATGGGAATCTCACTTTAAAACACAGATAGATTTAAGTACAGTTTTAGTGGTAGGCAATTACTATATTTTAATCCAGGCTCATCTTGATATACAGAGAATGGGTTGACGTCAAGGATTTCATTTTAATGGGATCCACAATAAATGCCTATGGAAGCAAAACCAAACAAAATCCACTGGTGTCCACCTGGTTCTAATTTATAACATCACCCTATGGGACAGAGAAGAATTGCCCCCATAGTTTTTCCAAAGCTACAGATCTTTATGGAAACAGACTGCCATATCTTTTTCTAGTGGTGCTGCAGTGGGCTTGAACCACCAACCTTTTTGTTAACAGGTAAAAACTTTAACTACTATGCTACTAGGACTCTCTCATTAAATCAGCAGTCAGTCCAAAAATTAAAAGACATAATATATTGGGTAAATCTACAAAAGACGTCTAGAAAGTATTTAAAAGCTGCCATCCTTGAGGACAAAAGTGAACCTGACCCAACCCATGGTACTTTCAAGTGCCTCATATACACATGAAAGTTGGACAATGTGTAAGGAAGACCAGAGAAGAATCAACACATTTGAATTACAGTGTTTACGAAGGATATATTGAATATATCATTTGCTGCTATGTTAGTCTGGGTAGACTAGAGAAACAAATCC